TTTTAAGATTAAAAGAAAACGGCTAATCTTGGTAGAGATTTTGGAATGGAGTGATGCATTGATTTGGTTAAATAAGTAAAATATTGAATTGGGATCTGGATGATGATTTGCTGACTCATTTATCCATTCTTGAAATGCCAGGATGGCCTTGTTTAAGAGAAATCTTTCCGGAGAAAATTTATTTTTTTTATAGCAAAACTTATTGCAGGTCTTAAATTTAATCCCACCGTCTCGAGTTAATTGTTCGGGAAATGTTTGGTTCACAAACACAATCATCACAAAATTCACAAACTTACTATTTGTGAACTTTGATTTAAAAAAAAATTAAAATGGTCTAAAACAATTTTAAATTGAGAATTTAAACCATAAAGAGTAAGTTTGTGGAGTTTGTGATGTTGGTGAACTTAGCATTGCTCTAATTGTTCCATTATGGATAACAAAGCTCGACCAAGTTTCCAATTTATTTAAATAATTCACAAAATTATAAGATAAAATTTCGCGTATTAAAAAATTACATCAAACTCTCTATAAAATGACACGACGATGTTATTTTAACAAATGATTACCGAAAATAAGTAAAAGAAGAAAAGGCTTGACTTGTGAATATTGAGATACTCATTAATGCGGGACGAGGGAGTATATCGTCGAAGAAAGCATATTTCTATGTGGGACCACAACTCTCGCCCCACTCTTCAGTGTCTGTTAGAAGCTTGGGGTGAGAGTTGAGGACACGCTTGGGGTACCCCCAAGCTAAATTCAATTCCTAAAGAGTTTAATTTCTTTCATTTCTTAATGTAGTGATGAGAAAGGGGTATTCTATGCATTGGATCTTGGTGGAACAAACTTCCGCGTGTTGCGAGTGCAGTTGGGAGGCAAAGATGGCGGCATTGTTCATCAAGAATTCACTGAGGCATCAATACCCCCTGAGCTGATGGTTGGCAGTGGAGAGGTTAGTGTGTTAACAATATATTTGTTCAAAGATTATTACATTGTGTATATAATGCTATTGTTTTAACTTTTAACCATACATGGCTATTGAATTGCTGAAACTCTTCTTCTTAATTTCTAGGCCCTTTTTGACTTTATTGCGGAAAAACTTGCAAAGTTTGTAGCCGAGGAGGAACAAAAGTTCCGGCAACCACCTGGTAGGCAGAGGGAACTGGGCTTCACCTTTTCATTCCCAATAATGCAGAGCTCAATTAATGCCGGGAATCTTATCAGGTGGACTAAAGGCTTCTCTATTGATGATACGGTATGTGTTGTAGAGTAATATAATTGGAAGAATATCATTCAATTTCTTTTTATTCTGGCATAAATGCACTTGAAGAACATTTTTGTTTGGCATAGGTTGGCAAAGATGTGGTTGAAGAACTAACCAAAGCCATTCACCGAAAAGGCATTGATATGCGCGTGTCAGCTTTGGTAAGTCGGCGAACTTAGCTAATCATGACATTCATTTTTAGTTTTATACTCATTCCGTCCCAAATTTAAAGCCCCAGTTACTATTCTTGGCTTCTTTTTGTTTGTTTATGCGTTCTTATCGATCATTTTATGAAATAAAATAGTCATGTCACCACTTGTTTTGTAGAGCTTTTGATGTAGTTTTTCAACAATGTAAATATGTAAAAACTACTTCTTGCCTCGTACTACGAAATGGGATTTTAGTTTTGGGACGGAGGGATTATATGTATGTGAATATCAACAACACGCTCACTTCAATCTTGTTTTGAAAAGGTTAATGATACAATTGGAACACTGGCTGGAGGCAGGTATTCGAACAAAAACGTATGCGTTGCCGTGATCTTGGGCACAGGAACTAATGCTGCATATGTGGAACGCGCACAGGCAATCCCAAAGTGGCACGGTCCTCTTCCTAAATCCGGAGAGATGGTTAGGAAGTTTGTTTTTATTCCTTTGCTTCTTTACCTCAGACGTGACCAGCTGTCCTAAAACTAGTTGGTGTTACAAAAGACACATACCCTGACGGTTGTTGTTGTTGTGGATTCAGTGTTAGTAATTGTTGACACCCTTGGCTGTTGTAACACAGGTTATCAACATGGAATGGGGTAATTTTAGGGCGTCATATCTGCCCATGACAGAGCACGATCATGCATTGGATGCCGAAAGCTTGAACCCCGGGGAACAAGTAACTAAATTTGCATATATGTGTTTTGGATTGTTTGCTATTTAATTAAAAGAAATATAACCAAATACGACTAAAACATGAAAATTATACCAAAATAAGATCTCGTGTGTTTTTCTATTTCCTAAATAGAATTATTGGCACGGTGAAATACGATAATTTGGCATTGTATATCACTATATTGACATTTATTTGTTGGCATTATAAGTTCTATTTTGGTATAAAAACATTGAAGGTTCTATATTTGCATATGAAGTATGTTTTAGTCTTAGTTAGGTATTTCTCCCATATTTAAGCATTTGCTTGTTTCTTTTTGTTCAATTTTCTTGTAGATATTTGAAAAGGTCACTTCTGGCTTGTATTTGGGTGAAATTTTACGGAGAGTTTTGCTCAAATTGGCTGAAGAAGCTTCCTTTTTTGGTGTTGAGGTCCCCTCGAAATTAAGAAGTCCATTCGTATTGAGGTATTATCTATAAATATTTGATATTTCAGACTTATTTATTTTGTGTAACTGGCAAACATTACTTGCGATTTCCAAACACAGGACACCGGACATGTCAGCCATGCACCACGACACGACACCTGATCTGAGAGTGGTTGGTGACAAATTAAAAGATATTTTTGAGGTACGGAGATGAGTAACTATTGTAATGGTTGTTAGAGTATAAGCGTCCGTTTGGTACACAGAATTGATGGAATTGGAATTGAAATTCTATGAAATTGAATTTGATGGGATTGAATTCTCCAATTCCAATTCATTTTTTAATTTTTACACTACCAATTCCAAATCCACATATGTTGGTGCTACCAAACACCAGAATTTGAATTGAAGTCTCCAATTCAAATTCCATGACTTGAATAGAGCCTAAAAGCATTTCGGAACATTTAATCACAAAGCATGAGCTTTTGGCTGAATTGGTTCCTTGGCATGGCATCAGAGCTTTCTTGACATAGAGGTCACAAGTTTGAATCTTGCCATTGCCTAACTTAGCTCGCCTACACATGGCGGACATCTTACAGTCTAAAAACAACCTGGGACTTTTAATCACAAGCTTGAGCTTTTGTTTGAACTGGTTCTGGCCTGTGGGTCGTGTAGTTAAACCAACATATTCAACCTTCATTTTGCTCTCCACACCAGGTGCCCAATGCCCCATTCAAAACAAGAAGAGTAGTCGTCGAGCTGTGCCACATCATCGCGACACGTGGGGCCCGCCTCGCGGCTTCGGGGGTCTTCGGGATACTGAAGAAGATGGGGAGGGACGCTGTGCGAGAAGGCGGGACCCCCGAGAAGACGGTGATCGCCATGGACGGCGGGCTATACGAGCACTACTCCGAGTACAGCAGGTGCTTGGAGAACTCCTTGTATGATTTGCTGGGAGAGGAGATGGCGCCGCACGTCGTGTTCGAACACTCCAATGATGGCTCCGGCATCGGCGCCGCTCTTCTGGCGGCGTCTCATTCGATGTACGCCGAGGAGGAGCCGAGCACCTGAATGCGAAGGTTTTCGCACCTTTGATTCATGTTATTTATTTGATTTGAGCATAAGAAAATTGTGGGAAGTCCGCATCTGCATTCATTGTCATGGTATGGTTTCAAGAATGGCTGGTTTCATGTAGAATGATGTTTTCATTCTATTGTGTGATCTGCGGCTCCCATTTTGCTGCAAAAGCCAATCATCATGTGATAATAAAGTGGGAGAGTTTTTTTTTTTTTTTTTCCTTTCTGTATTTGAACATTTGTTGTAATTTGTAAACTCATTCTCCCTCACATAAGTAAGGGTATCTGAATTTAAGACGCCTTGCTGAAATTACCCATCAATTTGCAGGAAAAAAAATGCCTAATGATCATAGCAATTGCCAAAGAACTTACAATAATGAAGTGAAAAATGAAGCTAATTATGCTTGGATGGAGGCATCCTCTATTATCAATCTACTAATTATAAATCATTTATTGGATTTTTAATCGTAAAGTTTGAGTTTTTGGTTGAGTTAAATTATTTAATACACCGTATGATATTAGAGTCTTATTGTCTTATTAGTCACTTTCAAAAAAACTTAATGTTCACGTGTAAGATATGAACAATTTATTTTGTCTACACGTTTGAGAACGTGTTTGAATAGAAACCTTGCCCTTGGGTCTTCGACCACAAGTGATATAAATTAAGATTGGGTAACATAGTTGAGTCGAACCATACTAAACTTCAAATCAAATATATTATCCTGTTCGTCTCGAGACTTTATTTAGCGAATTATTCTTATTCAAATTTTTCAACGTGAAGTATCTTTAATACGCTACCTTAAATGAATAATTGGGTCATTTTGTATCTAACTAGTTAATCACTTGTAAGTGGAGTCTCTTTCCCTGAATGTAAAATTCAAAAAATGTAGCGCCAACACCGTAGATATTGCAGACCATTATTTTTAATGTGCTCTTCTACCATGTGTGGGTCTCTATGTTTTTTTATATACTCCGTATTCAAAATCAACTTTAGAAAGAAAATAAAAAGAAAAGGAATGAAGTAGTGGAACTCACATGAAACCTTTTCTTGCTCTCAATAAAATGGATTGAAATGCATTTAAGCCTATTTCTTTTCTTCTTTTTTTTAAACTCTCTTTTACTCCCTCATTCCCAAAAGCTAAGCAACACTCCACTCTTTAAAAATCATGAGAACTTTTATTTATTTTTACATTTTTATTGATTATTTGATAAAATGGAATGTTCTTATCACCACTTGTTTTGTAGAACTTTTTACGTAATTTTTAAATATTAAGTTTTATTTTTTATTTGTTGATCATTCTTTAAATAAAATAAATTAAAAAAAATTCAAAAAATTACTTTGTTTAACATAATATTACTTAAATTTTGTGATTGAGGGAGTATTTCATATTCTCTCCTCCTTTTCTCATCTTTTCTTCATCCCACAATTATCATTTTCTATATTTCTTTTTACAAGCCTACGGCTACAAGGCAACCAGTTCAAAAATAAGGGGAGAAACCACACAAAGAGCAGAATTGGAAATCGCCGCAGAAGAGATAGAAAAATGCAGAAGCACGCCGGCGTCTGCAAATCGACGGCGAGGACGAAATCGACTAGAATGCCATTACGTAGCATCTCCAACTCCAAAAATGGAGCCAGAGATTTCTCCAGATCCACTAAGACCAAGTTGAAGCCGCCTGGGAAGAAAGAGCATGAAGACGCCGCCGTTCCCGATAACTCCCTTGACCGTCTCCTTCTCGTTCACTCCGAACTCTCCTCCATCGTCGGACAGGTATAAATCGTTCGGTGGAATTGCAATTAGGCTGTTGAGTTCGATTCGTTTGAGATCGTGAGATGCTGTTGTCGAATTGATTTTGTTAAATTCTATGGATTTCGTTTCAGTATTCTTCGAAAATCGAAATCCCTAATGTTTTCATCGGAGTTCAGAAGGCACCATATTTTATCACTTTTTAGGTCAAATTTCCATTTCTGGTGAATACGTTTATATTTCATTTTATTAAAACTCAAAATCCTTTTTTCATTAGGATGCTATGACCAATTCGTGTAGAAGGATGCCCTTGCTATTAGTGATAGTATGCATTTTCATTGTTTTGACATTTCTCAGTATTAATGCAGATCGATGAACTTGTTGTGCAAGCACTACAGAGCAAGAAAGAAATCAAGGAAATCAACTCTTTTGCAGATTTCCTGTCTGAAATGCAAGCATCTTTGAAGGTTTGTTCTAGATCTAAATGTGTTCATCTACTTTTGGTATTGCCCGAAACTTAAAATCTGCCTCTTGTGTGAACATTTGCAGCAATGGGTTCCTAGATTCCAGAAATCACTTTCTGACCCTTCTGGCTCTGAAAACATGCCAGAACCGCCACCGCCGACAAGTAACAAAGTTGCAGACAGTCCTGAGCAGTATAAATGGGACTCATTGGTTTGTTCGTCACCACTAGTTTCTTGGCGTGGAGATTGCAATTCTGAATGTGAAAGACAACTCTTTCTCCTTACCCCTTTGCATCAACAACCTAATGGATTTTTATCCAAACTCAAGGAATCATCTAAACCGGGATTTGAGGAGATTAGAACGGAGCAAATAGCTCAGATGCCCTCAGGTTTTGATGAAATGCTGGACGTGGGTGACAATAATATGCTTGGTAGTGCGAAACCGGAGAAGTCCTACATACTAATGACCCCTTGCTTGAAAGTATCACCACCCAAGTCATGTGTAGTGCTTGAACCTGTGTCCGAATATCGTAAAGGCAGTCTTAAGTTTCGTAAATCAACTCCATATCCGGTTGCCGTGGAGTCCTCAGATGGATCTCAAGATTCAGAACCCTCGGATGATCTTAATGTGAAATATCCCGAACTCTTTGGGATTAAACTGGGAAATAAGTTTGAGAACAGATGGAAGTTAGCCGAAGAATCACCAAAGTGGTCTCCTCCCAAAACATGTGCTCTCTTGAAGCCACAAGAGGATGCTGCACCCAGAGACTCTTCGATTCCATTAACTGCTCCCAATCCTAATCAGAAAAACTTGTTGCCGAGGAGCACTAATATCCGAGGTAAAAATTTTTACTCATCTGAAGAATTTGCAAGCATTATGCAATTTTTTGGTACAAAAAAGGAACTTTTTAACACTTACTCTTCTCTGAATGTGACAGAAGTTGGTAGAGTGTGTGAATTTGTTGAAAGCTGCACTCCCATGGCGAAAGAACCCGAGAGCTGTATTAAGACAGGGAAACAACGCCATCCGGGTGAGAACACCTTGAAGAGAGAACTGTGGACCAAGTTTGAAGCAGCATCTACACGTGCAACGTGCTTTAATCCATCGCCTGCTATGCAGAAGATGAATCTGCATAAGGGGTTTTTGGACAGGCTGGATGAGGCTTCTTCTGATGAATGAAGGTGCCGTGCAGTATGGAGAAGTTTACCATTCCTTTTTCACAAGTGTAGAAAAAGCTTGTACTCTAATGTTTCATCTTCATGAGAATGAAAAAGTGAAGTGAATGCAATCTTGAATCTTGATAGAGGAAACAAAAGTGAAGGTCAGCTCATTTCTGTTTGTAGGGAGTGTTTTGAAGAAAAAAAAGTAAATTCTTGTTTTTGCTTTTGTGGGATAAGTAACTATTCAAGTGAAAATGTGTAGTGTTTTTATGTAAAAATATAATTTTTGCTAAATGTTTTTTATTGTTTAGGGTGAAAAAATGTTAATTGGGAGAAAATTGTAAAATTGTTTAAAATAAAAAGTATGTAGAATACTAAAATAGTATCAACTGCTTGTAGCAAATGGCTAAAAATGATTATTTAAGCCTTTTACTTCCAAACACTAAAATGATTATATGCCAAAAGCAACAAAAGTATTCGGATGAAACATTCTTATTAATCTTTAATTTCCCACTAAGAAGTTGGGTCTTGAGATAAAGTCATCTATTAATCATTGTAGGGAAAAATAACGTGCCTCTTGTCTAGATCTGATTTTTCATTTTTCAAAATAGTTCCAATTAGGGGTGAGCATGGTACGGTATAGTACGGTATTTAGCTTGTACCGATACCGTACCAAATATTTCGGTTCGGTATGGGATTTTACCTCGTACCGATCCCGATCCACAAATATCGGTTCGGTATGGTTCGGGATAGTTCGGTATCGGTTTCGATACAAATCGGGATGAATATACATACCAACTCTACACGTTAAAATTTAACAATACCCCTTTATTTTTGAAAATTAAAAAGTGAATTTAAATAAAAAAACATGAAAAATTAAAAAAATAAATACTTAAATGTAATAGATGCGTATCAAAACTTAGTTTATATTTCTCAAACTAAAAAATAAACGACAATAAAGGAGTATTTCAAATATTTGTGAATACTTTTATGTTCATACACATAATAGGACTCGAACCAATTTCTTTTTAAAAAAAATTACCCAGAGTATTATTTAGTGAAGGAATATAAAAATATTACTCCGGGGTATTATTTTTTTTATAATATTTTAGTATATATGTTCGGTTCGTGATTTTTGGTATGGGACGTCCCCTCGTACCATTCCCAAATACCGTACCGACCATTCGGTTCGGTATGGTTCGGTTCCTTCTCGATATTTTTTCGGCTAGGTATTTTTCGGTTCGGTATTCTCAGTTTTTTCGAGAAATTTCGGTATCGGTTCGGTACTTGCTCACCCCTAATTCCAATATAAGGAATATTCCAAACTCAAGTGTAGCCGTGTAGGGGTCTAACATGTCATATCAGAATATTTTCATAACTTGCAATTTCTTAATTACTAAATAAATAAAAATAAATAAATTCGACAATTAAATTCAAACGTCCAAAAATGAAAAACAAAATCCAGTCAGGGGGGATAATAAGTTTTTTTAAATAGTTTATAAGACCATTAAAGTTAAAACTGGAGAAATTTTTTACAACTTACAAACATACAAAGTGAAAACTCCTCTAACTAATCTGTAGTTTTTGTGGCTCTACTCTCATTGCATTGGTGTTATCGCATTGTGTACTAAAAAAAATTATGAATCAGACAACTCATATTCACCCCTACCACTGTATTGGTCTTCATCACTTTCATGTATACCTTTCTCTGAATGTAAACCATCTTCAAAGCTAATTTTTGTTCTCTTCTTGTCTGAAATACCACTCCCCCTGTAACTTGAATAGTCCTGCATTGCCCAAGAAACCCCAAACAATGACATTTTTTTACTTCTTTTGATATATATATATATATATATATATATATATATATATATATATATATATATATATATATACACATACTGGCATTTCTTTTACCCTTCTCAGGTAAAGAATGAGGCAAGGCAATAGATTAAAGTGTCAGCAGTCATACCCCTTCATCTTTCAATTCAATGGCAGCCACCGTTTGTCTATTCCTTACGGTCACTCTTGCAGGTACTGGAAACTGTTCAACTTCGTCGCTTGATTTTCCTTCTCGGGCCCTCTTTTTTCTCAACGTGAGTTTTGTTGGAACCGGCTGATTACATTGGCATTGCACATAAATATGTTAGCATTCCATAACAGCACAACAATGTGAGTTTTAGATAACGTGAAATACTCCTTTAGTCCCAATATAGGGGTTACGTTTGAAAACGTATTTGTCCCAAATATGTGATATTTAAACAAAAGCTAATTTTCATTATGCTCAATGTTTTGAACGGAGTATTAAAAAAAGGTCCCATGCAAGTTATGTATGATCAATATTGTTGAACCAAGAAATAAATTTAAAAATCTAACCATGGTTGATCATTTTCAATAGTTGCACCTTACTAATAATACATGAAATGAATATCTTCCTGAAACAATGTGCAAGCTTTAGATTTTGGAAAGGATTAACTCGGGTAAAGACGTAAAGTATCAATCATACTATTAGACGGGGTAATGTTTTCTTAAGTTATTTGTTTCTTCAACAATTTTATAGATTAAAACAGTTTGGATACTATTTGTGTGGAATTACATTAAAATCACTAAAAAAATAAGTTTTTCTTTAAAACATGACTTAATACATAGAGTGTAATATTTTTACCATGTAGCGTGCCACTGATTTGTCAGATGCCACAAGGAATGTGGTTGGATCATCTGAGCCATCGCCGCGTACCTGTTGATTCATAAAAAATAACATATTTAAAACAAAGAAAATAAGTTGGAAGTTACAACTTTAAATGGTACACATACATCCCAGTGATATTCGCGGACCCATGTATATGAGATATCCTCATTTTCATCAAACATATCCTTCTCTAGCTGTCAAATAAAAAACAAGTTCATTGAGTGACGATTGAGGTTAAAAGGTAAGTAAATTAAACCTTGAAAATTTATGAGGGCAATTTTAACCTCATCGGGTGAAGGGACCATATATGCCAGGAATTTATCAGGTTTAGTGGCATCAGAGCTTCTAGCAACAAAGCTTTTCATAATTGCCTGCAGAGCATTAAGAGATATGGAGAGTCAGATTTTACGGCAAAATGGTGTGTGTGTTTGTGTGTGTATTCATGCTTTGCTTCAAGCCTACAACCCATCTTACACAAGATTCATGTTTATCTCGAAGAGCCTTGTCTAGCTTGCTGTAATTCTCTGAATCAGCAGTAGGAGCACTATCAAAGGTGGCAACCACAAACTTGTCATCGTACCTGTATAAGGAAATATTTTATTAAACAATAAAATTTCAAAATAGACGCATGGAAGATATGCAGGCATGTTGGGTAAGTTGATCTTCTACTTCTACACCCATGAAAGAAAGGTCCACAGAAACTATATTATTGTATGTAGTTTTTATTTACATTTTACCAATAATTTTAACCCAGGCCGTACATTAAACCGGCGTTGAGGCCACTTCCCAGGGTTTTCCAGTTTTAACCCTGGTTTTTGAGGCATTGGTCTGGGCGGGTTTGGTTCCCGGTTCCCGATCCGACCGCCCGGTCCGGTTTTAATATAACTGCATACTACAACCAAAACAAAAGCAGAAATCTACAAATGTCATATGATGATTCCATTCTTCCCCTAGGGTTTGTTTAGATCAAAGAAAATGATAGGGAAATGAAAATTTTCCGAGAGAAGTAATCTTCATATGTTCTATTTAAACTTTGAAAATGAATAGGAAAATCAAATATCATTAGTTTTAAATTTTTGGCATACATTTATCTAGTTTTCTTGTTCTTTATATGGACATACATAAATAAAATGAGTTTTTATCTACCAATCTCAAATTAAACTTGCTATAATTGCAAAATGGGTTGAACCATTGAGACTTGCAAAACCTTGTCAAGTAGGCAAGTAAACAAAAGCTTAGTAGGAGAAGAGAAAACTTACCTATCAAAATCAGGCAAAAGGGGAAGGATCTTAAGAGGCTGTAACTTCGGATTGGTTGCATGAACTGGTCGTGACTTGCATGCCTCAAAAGAAGCCTTAATTTGTTGTATCTGTCTTTCCCTGAAAATACATATTGGGTATGTCGTTAAAAGATGTTTGGGTCTCTTTATGCCTTACAGTATATTGACAGAAAAGGAAAAATTAATGGGAAGTAACCTGGTACTAAGGTTCTCCAAAATGTTGCGGCCTCCTCTGGTTTCACGTAATTCCTTAGCTTGCTTTTCAGTCAGAGACTACATATGGCATTGAAAACAAAATAAGCTAAAGTTTGACATTATTTATAGGAAAGTGTCTTCATAACAGTAAAATTACCTGTTTTGTTGAATCTGTGCTTAGAGAAGAAATATATTGTGTTTTTACTAGCCAAGAAACGCCCTTGTCAGTTGGCCTATCTTTCCTTTTTATGCCATCTTTCTTGATTGGAGTTACAGGATCATCATCACGCAACAAGGCCTCATCCTCATGATCCAGGGGAGTCACTTCACCCTTTGGAGGGCTACCAAATAGCAATTAGTGAGAACTGGAAGTGATGTAGATTATCAAGCCAGCAGTTTGAGAAGGTAAGTATGAAAGGAGAAGAAACATACTTATATACACTGAGATCAAGTAGGTCAAGTGGAATCCCAAGATCTGGTTCAACATATAATTGAGGCTTGTGCACTTTCTCTAAAGAAGTGATTGTGTATTTGGTAAATCTGCATACATAACCTTCTTGCCTTAAAGCACCAGACAAAAGAATGCAAATATAGCCTGTACTTATGAAAAGCTAAAGCACTTGGTGATAAGAAAACCAAAGATCACACCATCAAAATCCACTCGAGGATTACAAAATACTCTCAGAGTAGCATATTTTAAGCAATGATTATTTTTTATATCTTTATTTGGAGAATAAATAGTGTGGAGTAGCTTAAAGAACAACAACCCAGTATATTCCCAACTCCATTGGGTCAAGATGTGCACAGTCTTACACTCCTACCCTTATAAAACTACCCCTGTAAAGACAGGCTGTTTCCATTAGACCCTAGATGTGTTGCAACATTTACTGCCCAAAACTTCATAGAAAGTAAGAAGCAGGGGAAGTTTATTGTGTCATTTTGATTTAGTCCATTATGTACCCGAAACTAAAACATTGTCAATAATGACTATTAGACAAGCTTTTATTTTAAACTCTCTTTTAGAGTATTTGGACAGAAAGCTCTAAACTTTTCATCATTTATACTAAAGATACAGTCCAGGAATATTCTTAATACAGGACAAGTGGACAACTGCATGTGTTTGGTATATCGATATGAAAATTTGGCACCTGCTGTTTTTTTCTCTTTTTCAACCTTCTTCATTATTACAGCTCAATTGAGAGCAGTGTGTGGGAAGTGAACTTAAGCACGCCTGAAGAATGAAAAGAAATAAAAGTTTGCCTACCTATCTTTGTCTCTTCTTAAGGACATAAGCTTTGGTTGTGCTGTTGGATCTGGCAATTCATTTCGAAACCTGCATACAAAAGAAAAACACGTGAATGTTTTTAAGCACCATCAAGAGTTTATAATGAGAGAAAGCAATAATATTTAGATATATATTAAAAAACCGGTTTTAAAAACATTATCAAGCATGTTAAAGTTGCAACTTTGCCATTCTTTTTTTCATTCAATTTACCACAACACCGGGTTGCCAGCTCAGTGTAGCACAATAAGGGGCAGTAATTAAGTGGGCATCATGCGCAAATCTTCCTTTTTGAGGTATGAATAAGGGGACATCAGAGGAAAAAATACAACTGCGTGTCTGAACACAGCCCTAATTATTTCATATTGAAGTATGATGAAAAAATGTCCTCAGACTGGCATGCATCTAAAATCCAAAGAAACAATGAAAGGATTGAATGAATTATCTGAGCTAACACGTCAATATACACACCTCAGCTTGCAAAGAAATGTAGTTGGTTTCTTCAACCGGTTTTCAGATCTCTCTCCACTCAACAAAGGAGTATTTCTTCTGTCAGCCATGTGGGAGGCACTAATAGAACCATGACCCTTCAACCCAGAAGCTAACATTTGGGTCTTCAGCAGCACCTTGTTCTGGGATTCTTTTAATAGCTGCCTATGTTTCTCTTCATGCCTTTGTTTCTCATACTCTCGCTTCTTTCTCAACCTCCTTTCTTCTTCTGTTTCAACTTTTCCAGGATGAACGTTTGCCTTCTTCACTTGGATTTCAGGAACTGGAGGTTTCTGCTTATATGGAATCCCGTCCTTGGAAGGTGCTTTCTCAGTAGCAATCCGGATTTCATTGCTTTGACGAGCAGGGGGGGCTAATGAAGGGGGTGGAGGGGGTGAAGAAGGAGGCGGAGGAGGAGGAATCACAGAACTTGGGGGAGGAGACAATGGGGGAGGAGGTGGCGGAGGGGGTTGTAAAGGCGGTTGTGGGACATACTGAGTATACTGAGAGGATGGATAATATGGTGGAGCTGGAGGAGCAGGCTGCGGTGGCGGTGGTGGTGGATATGAAGAATCCGGCGGGGGCGGCGGAGGCGGATACTGATATTGCAATTCTTGCTGAGTAGACTGTGGAGGAAGAGGCGGTGGCGGCGGAAGAGGACCACCGCTAAAGTGATTTACTTGCTGGTAACTACCATATCCCCAATTATTCTGAGAAGGGTGATTCCCTCGCGGCTGCCCTACGGAGGTTGGCAGATGAGGCCGTATGTGATTCTGATTCGGGGGCTGTGGCGAGACAAACGTCGATTGAGACGGCGGATGGAATGGCCTATAAGAATCCATCACAATCTCCAAGCTCCAGCCCTAGCTAATCGCCCAATCCAACAAAATTCCGGCAAAGCAAGCACTAAACCCTAGGACAGAGAAACCATCAATTGTATTACCATAAAAATAAACACCGATCCAATCTTTCACTTCACCAGATAAGAATAATATATCGACTATTCGTATGATGAATCCCTCGACAAATCTGGAAGAGAAACGAAAACTTGAGCTGCATCAACGCTGAAAGCGCGCGTATGAATTTTTCAAGTATTTTGGATTCTGAGAGGAAGGATACCAAAAAAAGGAAAACTCAGAGTGGGGGAAAACGAAATTCACGAGATAAACTAAATGGAAGTATAGTCTAGTGTAAGAGCAAGCTGAAAGGGGGTGCGGCAGCGAATCACGGCTGATGAAGATGATGATGCACAGGTAAAGTTTATGGGTAGTCAATAGGGTGCAGTATATTTTTGGCAAATTCTTTTGTGAACACCTAAAAGTCTAAAACAAATCTCTTTGTATATTTGTCCAACTTTTCTTGTTAAAATAGACAAATTTTAACTACTCATTACTCTTAATTTTATTTTATTTCTCTTCAAAAAAAACTCTTAATTTTATTTTCATATTAATACAATAAAATAAAATTTTAATGGTTCTCGACAAGATAAATCTAATGAAATACATGTAATTTTTATATTAATACGGAGTATATATTATCATTCTTTTTTCATTAAGATTCATTGTTCATCCATATATTTCGACTAAAAAAATCAAACAGGACAAGTACAATGTGTACTTTAGTTTTGTGTTAGAACTTCTCGATCAATTTAGAGTTTACAATGGATCTTCTCCTTTGACTTGAGTTGTAAGAAGTTTACATCGCAAGATTTTATTGGAAAGTTCACCCAAATTTGAGTCTTAGAGACATTGTTTCACTGTGCGTCTTTAGGTTGAAGTAGCACTCGGAAAAATTTAGAGCTTACTATAAACAACTTCATAAGCTGAATTCTAAAGACAGTACTTGGGGGGTTTTCCACTTATAGCATTCTATTTAAAAATAGAATATTTGTGATTCTCTATATTTAGAAATGAAAAGTCTTTTGGATCGGAGAAAAAATGTCCCAAATATTTTTTGAAGAAAGCTTGGAAAACCTCACTTTGCACACAAAAGATGAATATTGACACTTATCGTTTGTGTCGTACATATAATAAATGTGCGTGTTTAGCTTTGGTGTGCAAAGTAAGCTTCCCCGAGCATTCCCCATATATTTTCACATGTAGTTTATAAACGACGTATCGTGTAATAGTTTTTCAATTATAGAAGACCACAAACATAGTACTACGTATTTTGAAATATATAACGATATGTAAAAAATTTATTTTTATAAATGACCATCTATAGAATTTACTTAAACTCTATTTACTATCTTTGTTTATTTTATTATTCATTTAATAAAGTACGGAGTAATATAATCATATCACCTTTTTGTTATAGGTCCTCTACCGATAGACACTTTTCTAAATCCTTTCCTCGAGAGATACTTTCTTATATCCTCTTTAATCCCTCTCTTCGTGAGGTACTTTCCTAAGTCCTCTCCCCGAGAGATGCCTCTTTAAGTCCTCTTCCCGAGAGGCACTTCCTTAAATTTTCTCACGAGGTAGGTCTAAATTGGTCTGAGCTATCTCGCGAGGCAACAAAGTCCTTACCCTAAGAATCCCCTTTGATGGCTTTCAAGTTCTTTTATGTGAGCTCCTAAAGTCTTAATTATATGTAAGACGGTAAGAGTTACTCACACATAAATTTCGAAATCTTTCTATGAGCTACTTACACTCTTCTGTAAGGGTGGTCATGAAACCTGTTCTCTTTGACTACTCCCGAAATATTTCGATACCATTTTGGAATTGTACCATTTAATTAGGAATACATTTTTTCCTCAAACCCGTCCCATCCCGAATCTAAACGATACAATAGTGGGACAACATAAAAGTATACTGTTCCTATCTGTTTGTCTTGTTTCGTATACTCTCATAATAAAATATACTCCGTGTTTGTCAACACTTTTGTTAATAGCAAGACCAAGCTGAGGTAGATCTGAGCTTCTTTGGTAGTCTAGTTTAGTGACCGTAGTTTAACATTCTCGTGTTGTTTGTGATAGTTTGTGCTATGTTTTATAAATTTTGTTCTATATTTAATATGATTGAATTTATTTGTTATTGCTTCAAAAATAATAATAAGATATTTTACATTTACTCAGTATAGTTTTAATTGTATTGCTTAAAAATGCTGGTAATAGTGCATCGTAATAGTATTAATAAATCTAAGTCTGATACAATTTGATAATAATTTATTTTATTGAATAACGAAAGATACATCCCTATATATAGAAACATTACAAGAGAGAATTCTAATATAAGTAAGAGAAGAATTCTAGTAACAATATGATACTGAAGTAACGTAATAAAAAAGTTAATGAATAATAATATTCTATTTTCTAATACATCTATTATTCCTAATATCCCCACAAGTAGATCATTGGTAACGAGGAGCAACGTGGAGCACACGTACTGGAATTGAGCCGGCGGAAGTAATTTTGTGAGGATAGCCTCTAGAAGTACAGAGTCAGATCTTCGTTGCATGACGAACGAGCTTAAGATTACGTTTGCTGAATTTTTTCTGGTGAGAGTGTTGACGATTGAAGCGAGGGTGAGGAGTTTCTTTCTTTCTCCTTTCGGCCGTTCTCTACTTCTCTATCGCTTTACATGCTCTCGATCTCTAGAAAAAATACAGACAAATGCAACTTTCTCGTTCTTTGATCATGCACATGATTTTCTTGGAAGAGAGAGAGAGATAATGAATTTTTTCGAGAGGAAGACATGGATAACGGTTGGGGTATTTGTAACGCCCCGAAAATAGCCCTATCAGAATTAATTAATTGATAATTGATTAATTACGGAGAAGGACTCAAAAATAAGTTATTTACAAAGTTTGTCAATTGATTGTTAAAATTATACCGTTGTGTAGAGTTTGACTGTCTGATTGCAACGGTACAATTAGATTTTATTTCGGAGAAAGTTAGACCAGAATGTTTGACAGACCAGGCCTGTTTAGTAAAATGATGGAATAAGAGAATATTCTCCCGAAGATGCTCCCTTTCCTTTCTACTCCGTATAAAAGAAGGGGTTGCCCTCAATGTTAAAGAAGGCCAAATTCACTCTCTCCCCTGCCCATGTGTTTCTCTCTCTAGATCTGTCAAACATTTTCTTCTTCAAGAGCTTAGAAGCTCTCCATTAATGGCCTCTCTGCCTAAATCATATACCATGTACACACCCCCGATATTAATAAAAATCCTCCATTGGCAAGGTACCGCCAAAAAAGGCCCGTGGTTTTCTCCCGATTTGGGTTTCCACGTCAAAATCCTTGTTTTTATATTTTGGTGTATTTTTTTAGACTAGTTTATTGTTTTTGTCTGGCTAAAAACAACTATCAACTACTATGGGTCCAATTCCATGGCCCATCTCTTTGAGTGGCCACGGAGGACACTGTTTCAATTGAGGCACATATGGTGCTTCGTTTATAAAATTAATACTTCATACCTTTTGACCTTTCGGTAAACCCCTCACTGCATCTAGTCTAAATTTGACCCAAAAGTCAACTAAACTTACACCCCATAATTGACATGAGTAGGGGGATGAGTTGAGATCGGGACTAGCTGATGGAGTATATTTGTATCAGCAACAATAAATTATATTGCGTGTATATATTTTTTGAAACCAATCATATTTCCTATATGGTTACATAATATATACTTCAACAACTCCGTAATATTTATATACTTTTATTATAGAGATCGGGTGGGATTGCCCGTGGGCTTTAACAAAACAATCCAAGTCCGGCCCGCAACACTTACGGGTACCCATAATTTACAAGTCGGGTCGATTTGAAAGCTACAACTCAAGCCCAAATCCACAATTTTCCATGCGGGCCTATCAGGTCGGGTCAGATACCCGGGTCTATGATCGAGTTTACAGAACACATTGTCTGTATTGAAAAATAATACTCTGTACGGAGTAACAATTTGTGTCATTGGTGCAAAGCTTTGGTCATGATTGGCAAAAATACTAGGGGGACTCCAAGATTTTGACACCAAATGCACACCAAGGACAATACAAACATATCCAGACATTTAATGTCTGTGCACATACAAACATTAAATATTCAAGTGCTTGTATTAGACTTGGTGTACATTTGGGGTCAAAATCGTGAAACCCGTTAGTACTCTTCCATGATTGGGGTTTCTTTTTGGATTAGTGGTTACGTGGTTCTTTTGACAATTCAAATTAGGATGAGAATAATGAAACACAAGATTAAAATATTCAAATTGTCTCCTCCTCGTGGAAAATGCGGCTCTCTCCAAATTCCAAAAGGGCATCCAAAGAGCAAAGCAGGGGTGAGATTCGTCATCAGGTACAGGGCCATTGAAGTCATTTGAGGAGGGGACAGCTGACCTAAGACCACAGTACAAAGTGGATAACACAGCCTCGTCTTCTTCTGAGTATTCTCTGGTAATTATCATCAAAATGGATACCTGAACCCACTGTTTTCCCCAAGCTTATCCTCCTCCACACACATGGTGCGGTTCGCCATCTCCCCCTGGCACATCCGCTGAGTTGATCGAGTGGCCGAGATGACTCGGCGGTGCTCTCATTGCAGCAACAACGGCCACAATTCAAGAACCTGCGCGGTTAGGGGTCTCCCCACCGCCGCCGCCGCCGCCGCCGCGTCTGGAGGCGGCGGAGCTGGGGTGAGGATTTTCGGGGTGAGGCTTACGGAAGGGCGTTCGAATTCGATCATGAAGAAGAGTGCTAGCATGGGGAACATTTCTTCTCTGTACCACTCCTCCTCTTCGGCCGCCGATTCTCCTAACCCTAGCTCGCCTTCTTCTGATCCTTTGCGCGACCCGGCCAGCTTGCCGGGCGGGTATGCCTCGGATGACCCGACGCATGCCTCCCGTTCGACCATTTGCCGGGCTGAAATAAAGAAAGGTTCCCTTTTTATTACTTCTACTACTGTAATAGATGTCACATGAGCTCCAAAGATTGATATTTATAAGGAACCAGTGTAAAATGACAAAAAAAAAGGAGAGGTCAAATCTAAACATGCTCTCTAAGGGATACTTTTTATAATTCCAAATAATTCGTTTACCGAATATGGTAAATTGGCAATTCATTTCGGACACTCCGAAAAGAGAAAGAATGATCTTTCTTTATAGAGTATACAAAAGTAGGGAAATTTTCTTTGTGTGATTCCGGATTCCCCACAATTTTTTGGTCTAACATCTTTAACTTTCATTGTGGAAACATTTGTGTTGAACAACTGAACTGATAGTGACTGGATTTCATTACGAGCAGTGGCTCGAACTTTCATCGTTGTACCTAAGAATATTTTGCACAATGTATAGCAATTTAGAGATTCTGGCATCGTGCGAGTGGCTCGAAGTGGGGTTAAGCAATCACTTTGTTTTGGAACATATGTGCCTATAGCCGGCCATTAATTACTTTGGATTAGCTATAAATGATATCCATCTTGCGCATCAATGAATGTTGGGGACTTTTTTTGTTGTTGTTGCAGGTACGGCATGGACAGAGGAAGAGCACATGATGTTCCTTGTAGGGCTACAGAAATTGGGGAAAGGGGATTGGAAGGGCATATCAAGGAACTATGTCACCTCCAGGACACCTACACAGGTTGCAAGTCATGCCCAAAAGTATTTCATCCGCCATTGTAATGCCACTCGGAGGAAGAGAAGGTCCAGCCTCTTCGACATGGTTCCTCATGATATGGTTGGTCCCTCCTCCTCCTCCTCCTCCTCAACATGAGATCATCTCTAACATCTTCGCCATTGCGAAGTTAATGTTGTTTTTGGGTCTCTAGTTATTGTTTTGTGATTCATCGTTGTGATTTACACCGTTTTCTTTTAGGTCCCTCTCCATCAACTTCTGTTAAAAGAACTCACACGTTATTTCCAATCTTTTTACGCAATTCTTTACCTCATGAAATGGTTGGTCCCTCTTCCTCCTCAACATAAGATCTCTAACACTTTCGTCATTGCAGTTTTAATGTTTTGTGATTCATCCTTGATCATTGTGATTTACACAGTTTTCTTTTAGGTCCCTCTCCGTCAGCTTCTGTAAGAGAACTCACCACGTTATTTAATTGATTAATATTGTATTCTCGGGGTGTCAAAGAGGTGTGAATTGAAACTGAGAATTGTGATTTGTGAGTTTTGTTTGGTTCTACCCATCAAAATAGTCGCCGGTCTGTTACAGAAAGTTGGCATGGAAAGACGAAACTGTAGTTTTGTGAGCCACACCATTTTCTTGGAGGTTGACAGGTGAATTAAAAAGAAAACAACATAAATTACAAGGATCTAAAACAAAAACACTAATTGCATAAGAAATGTACTTATGCCTCTGTTTTGTGTCGCGGATCTGTTGGAAACAGGCAAATAACCTCTCTCCTTTTGAGCAAGGATAATGTGTGTTTACTAAACACACCCTACCTAGACCCTACTTTTTGTGGGAATTTAATATGTTTCTTGTTTTTATTGTTGTTTTAAGCCCCTGTTTTGTGATATTGTCACCTTGTGCAGGCCAGAGTCCCAACCACCAGAAGAACAGTTAATGCCCCCTCCTCCAACATTAGAAACCGAGGAGGCAGAGTTGGTGGGACCGGCTCAGGGAGATTCATCGCCATCTTTACATCTCTTTCTCAGCACAGATTTCGAATCCATGGAAACCACTCTTGAAAACGACAGCAACCCAATAACGCCCTCAACAACAGAGGCTCCTCCAGTGTTTCCTACATTCATCGCGACTTATATCCCCATACCATTCCCAATATGGCCATCCAATGCAGTTCCTCTGGATGAAGAAGATGCAGGGGCAGAAACGTCCCACCACCAGATCTTGAAGCTCGTTCCGGTTGTCCCCAAAGAACCATTGAAACTAGATGAACTAGTTGGAATGTCCCGGCGGCTTAGTCTGGGAGATAATCAGACCGGATCTCTTAAGCTGGCCGGAGAACCCTCAAGGCCTTCAGCATTTCATGCAAGCAGTCAACGGTAGGTGTACAGTAGGTTATTAGAGAGTTCATCATTTGCCTTCATTTTCTTGTTAAATAAACAGCAGCTTGGATCTTTTGAATGTTCAAGGATAGCTGGTGCAGAAGTTTCTCCATGCACTTGTAAAATACATGGTGTATATATCATTTAGAAGAAGTTTCTCCATGCACATTCTTCCACCCTTGTTCAAATATTAAAAAGAATTTACTCACTTCATATTCAGAAGGGTTGTGTGAAGTTTTATTTTTGAAATAACTTTATACAATTGTTTAAGGAGTAATTTATCTAAATAGGACTAAAACATAATGATTTTCTCAATATAGGACTATATGTTTTTATTTCCCAATGTAGGACCATTAGTCATTATCCATTAGTCATTATTCAACTAAATGTCCAGCATCACTTGGACATTATTCTTCTCACTAGTTATTATTAAGTCCTATTTAGGGAATAAAAAAGTTTAAGTCCTGCATTGGAAAATGACTTATGTTTTAGTCCTATTCAGTGCAAACCTGGCCTATTGCTCGCTCATATGGATAATCATTGTTGCCCGTGTCCGTCTTAATTTAGGGGGCGTATTCAATCAGGGTTCTGAAAGATTTTAATTGATTGTTTAGAATCTATTGATTACATAAAATTTATAGATTGTTTTAAGTCTACGCAGGGTAAAAGAGATTTTAATGTAGTTTATCAAAAGAAAGTTATAGGATTCTGTGAGATTCTTTATAATACTCCTTCCGGTCCTAAAAATTTTTCTTGTTTTGAGGTTTTTCTTGTCAAATAGTGACATCATTCGATCATAAATTATGTGAAAAGTATATTTAATTATGATATACATTCAATATAATTGAATTCATCTTAGGATATAGTTTTGATGTATCAAATTTTTATTTCATTTATTTGTTTAGATTATGTTTAATTTATATTTAAAGAGTATCACTGTTTAACCAGAAAAAGTCAAAAGATGAAATGTTTTTAGGACTGGAAGGAGTATATAGTTTTTTTATACATAAATTTGAATTATTTTAAAAAACTACACATTCTTCAACATTAATATTTGCACCAAGTATCAATTCCTTTGCCAACAGATTTTCACATGGACTTTTGACTGCCATACCAATTCTTCAACATAGGGAGTATGAATTGGAACTTTTATTAGTTGCAGCTTTAGAAAATAATTGTGTCGCACATTTGGTGGAGCTTCAATATCCATCTCTCCAGCAGCATAATTGCATCAAGAATGGTTGCGGATAACTAATTGCCCGCCCTTGCCGCCGCCGCCCAACCTTGCAGACACTGGATTTGCAGTCGCAACCGCAGGTCAGTTGCCCAAATTTCCACCCAGATCCAAATTTCCGGCGGTAGAAAAAGGAAGTTAACTTAACGGATAGTACTAGTAAATCTTGGTTATCTTGGGCTATAAATGGATAATCGAAAATTCGATTACCTTTCACAGAAAAAATTTGCATCCGTTTTAAACGGATATTATCCATATTCGCTTAAAGACATCCGATTTATAAATGGATATAGATTTGGTATTTATATATCCAATATGTTTAAAATCTAATCCGCACAAACAACCATTTAATTATTCGATTATTCGATCCGTTTTACCTGAAATTACCTGTTAAAAATAGGTCAAACCCGACTGAACCCGAACCCGATCCGACCGACCCGCTAATGTAAGAATTTTTTTAAAATCATATGGTTTAATATGTAATATAATGTTATAAAAATAAGATTTTTAATTATATTTCTTTGCTTACTACCCGTTCTTAATGTATATATTCATATTTTCATACAAAATTTAATCATATCACATAATTATCTTACTCCGTATTTTTTTCAAAATTTTTTTACATATTCAGTTTTTTTATTCGTAATATTGACAATTGGTCATAAAAATTACTTAAAATTTCAAAAAATAAATGAAAGTCATAACCCGTTGGGTCGACCCGAACATGATGACATTGGGTCATGAACATGTAGCTCTCAACCCGAACCCGAACTTATCCGAACCCAAAGTAACCTGAATCCAAGGTGATCGAACCCGAACCTGACCTGACCGACCGTTTTGCCAGCTCTATGGTTCGGTATCGGTTTCGGTATAAATCGGGATGAATATATACATACCTAGTTTACATCATAAAAATGTAACAAAACCTTTTATTTTTGAAAAATCGAAAGTACATTTAACCAAAGAAAGATAAAAAAAATTAAAAATGAAAAAAATAAAATGCAAGAAATGCTTATGAAAGTTAGTTTATATTTCACAAACTAAAGAAAACGAGTGATATAAAGTATTATTTCAAATGTTTGTTAATATTCTTATACTCATCTACAAAAAATAAAAAAACTCTTATTAAAGTGCAACTTACACATAATGAAATTAAACTAAATTGTCTATATAAATATTTTATTTAATGAAGAAATATAAAAAGATTATTATTTTTACTCCCTCCGTCCATGTAAGATCTTCTCATTACGCGTTACGAGGCTTGACCGATTTGCGGGCGGAGTTTGGTTAATAGTGAGTAAAGTTCGACTCTGTGAATAGTGTCTGGGAAGATCTATGGTGGACAGAGGGAGTAATATATTAGTATATATGTTCGGTTCGGGAATTTCGGTATGACCTCGTACCGCTCCCAAATACCGGACCAACCATTCAGTTCGGTACGGTTCAATTACTTTGCGGTACTTTATCGATTTGGTATTTTCGAAAAATATCGGGATATGTTCGGTCCTTGCACACCCTACTCTAATATACCCTACTCTAATATTTACTCCTCTCTCTCTCTCAACTCTCGTCAGTCATTATCGGCTCCTCACCCAGCGCCCCAATCTTACAGCGTCAGCCACCTGCGTTAGTCGTCGCCCAACGCCCTAGTCTTCTAGTCGTCAGTCGTCGCCCAGCGTCCCATTCTCGTCAATCACTGTAATTGTCTCTCCCCACTCTCGTCACTCGTTACTCGACTCTGAAGGTATTTATTTCAATATTATTCAATTTCTATAATCGCCCCTATTCCATTTCAACATTAGTCACTGTAAAAAAAATTCAACATTGTTCCATTTCTGTAATCAATTTCTCTCGATTTTTGGCTTTTTGCATCATTTGTCTACAATTTTACAATGTTATATTATCCCCAAACCATTTGCGGGCGGATTTCAAGCTCCCAATTCAAAACAAAGTTACAATAAACATAAGAAAAACATGATTATACCTTTGCCTGTGTCTGTCTTGACTAAATATTAACTTTAGAGTGGCACAGAAGTTCTTTCCAGCGCAGTTATCAGCCATTTGTGGAGGTGTTTGAGGGTGGTTCCCGCGGCCACAATTTATAATTTTTTTAGTTGCGGGATAGCCCATGGCAAGATTTACTAGTGCTATCCGTTACGTGGATACCTATGCAGATAAGAGTTGGATAGTACTATCCGTTACGTTATTTGCATGTACTATCCGACCCTTATTTGCATAGGTAACGGATAGTATTAGTAACTGAACGGAGCGGGCGGACCGAACCTTATTTGCATAGGTATCTACGTAACGGATAGTACTAGTAAATCTTGCCACAGGCTACCCCGTAACTAAAAACATTACAAATTTTGGCCGCAGCTCTGCAACGGAGCCACCCTCAAACACCTCCGCAAACGGTGGATAACTGCGCCGGAAGAACTTTTGTGCCACTCTGAAAGGAGATAATATCTCCTCAAGACAGACAAAGGCAAAAGTTTTAGGGAAAAAGACTAAAGTAAGAGTAAAACATTGAAAATATACCAAAATAGGAGTTCCATATTTTTATTCCCGAAATAGGAGTTAAAATGCATTTACATTACCAATCATGACCATGTACATTACCAAAAAAGTATAGTAAAATGCCCATGTACACTGTCACATTACCACAGTGCGAACTCCTATTTAGGAAATAAAAACATGGAACTCCTATATTGGTACTTTCTCTAAGTTTCACTCCTATTTAGGTATTTAGGGTGATTTCTTAAGGTATTATCATGTTTTCATATGTTTATTGTAACTTTGTTTTGAATTGCCAGCTTGAAATCCGCCCGCAAATGGTTTGCGGATAATATAATACTGTGCTGCCAAGGTGTATGCTTGTTTTGAATTTCAAGGTCGAGAAACCGTTTGCCGATAATATCTTCTGCTAATTTACAGCGCCAAATTTTGAATTGCCTTAAAATTTCACGGTAGGGAAACCCTACAACGTGTTATAATGCATATTTGCAACATTTCCCCCCCCCCATTTTTTTGCGTTATCATTATGCTTGATCATTGTAGGAAGATTGACGAATATCGTTTTCCATTGTTTGTAATCACTTTCTGCGTGGAGGAGAAATGGAGCATTGCATGGACATTGACACAGAGGTTGCCTTTCCTGAGTTCACATTAGCAGAGGTAAAACTCAGAAGCACCCCTATGAATGCTTATTCAAGTAGTTTAGCCTATAATGCTTAAAATGGGAAATGATAACAAGTTTGTATCCCAGAAATGCTAGGGAAAGGATAACAAATGCTAACAGAGAGTACATTCTCGTGTTTGGTTTTATCACGGAAAATGCAAAGGCATATGAAACATGATTGCACTATGTTTGATTTAAGGAATTTGGAAGGAAAAGAAAAGAAAATGATTTTCTATCATTTTCCTCACCAAAATGGAAGGAATTTGGTTTTCCCTACTCTTAGTACATATTGCATTCTCATTTTCTTTCCTTCTACTTTTCTTTACTTTTCCTCTTTAACCAACCAAGAAAAGTTGTTTTCTTATCATTTTCTTTTCTTTTTCCTCTCAAACTCCTTGAACCAAACATAGTATTAATGTTTATTAAATTGTTACATATATTCTGACTTTTGAATTCTTAGTCTTTACATAATAGAAATACACAAATAAAGAAGTTTGAACAATAAATTTATTGAGTTTGGGCCTCTCGTTTTCTTTCCTTGTAAATTTCTCATGGTGTGTTTGGGAACAAGGAATTGAATTTGAATTCTAGAATTGACTCAATTCCAATGTCTGGGATGCCTAAGAATTTGGAATTTTAATTGGGCCAATTCCATCCCAAATTCCCAATTCCAACACAATAGTAAAATAGCTCTCTTGAAATGACTACCATTGCTTAGTCATTTGAATTTCAAGCTTGCTCCTTTCTCGAACCTTAGTCATTTTTTCATGTACTACTTTCTCTACCTTATTTTTTTCTTCATGTAGTTTCTCTCTTTTAACCTCACACACACACACTCTCTCCACTGGAAATAGGAATTTTTAAATTTAATTCTTGGAGTTCTCAAACAAGTATTTGGAATTGGATTTAGAATTCAATTTTTGAATTTCAATTTCTGAATTTCAATTTCTTGAATTGAATTTCTGAATTTCAAATCAATTCCGTGTTCCCAAACACAACCTTATATATTTCTCTCTAGGTTTTTCCCATATCGTTTTACTGGTACCAAACACTCCCTTAAAGTATATTTGTGATTAATTGAGAAATTAGAACTGTGGAAATGCCTTGCAGGTACTTTCTGGGAGAAGGATGAAAATCATATTTACTATCCATCCGAACCAGACTTTGATTCTTAATTTGCTAATGGTTCTTAATTGAATATATACATAACTTAGAGTCTTAGACTGCTTTTGGAATTAATTATTTTCAACGGACGTGTTTTTTAGATGAAAAAACATATATTTACTTAAAAAGAAGCATATGGATGGAAAATGGAAATGAATTCTTTAACTTTTAAAAGAAAACTCAACAACAACAACAAACCAGTAAAATCCCTCAAAAGTCTAAGGAGGATGTGTGTACGCAAGCCTTACATGCATTCAAGAGTAGAGAAGTTGTTTTCGAGAGACCCCAGCTCATGCAGTCAAAGTAAACCAACAATGAAGACACAAAAGCACGACCAAGTGAGAACAAAGTAGAAGCAAATAGTAAAGAGCAAACTAATGGTAAAGAAAGCACATAGAGACAAGTACCACACATACCGACCCTAGCACTAGACCCCAAGCACAAAGAGCACATAAAGACAAGAGCAACAAAGCACTACCACTAAGACCTAGAAGACTGCCAAACTATTCTAGTCCTAGATCTCTACATGTTCCTATCTAAGGTCATATCTTCGGTAAGGTCGGGAAGCCTCGGTAAGAGCTCTTTGAATGTTTATTTATAGAAGGAGCAGCAGATTGTTGCTTTTTACACGCTTAAATAGGAAAACACTTATACCATAAGTTTTACCAAACTGGGCCTTGGTAATATTTTATCTTGCTCAAACAGATTTTGGAAATGGAGAGAATGTTCAAGGAAAAAGGAGTAAAGACTTTTGATCAGGAGTTCTGTGAAGAGGTTGCTGCAAAGTTCAGGTAAAGCTACAACAATGGTATTCATGCCATCCGTCTGCTTTGTAACTCTACCTTAGCAGTACTACGGGCTAAAAAACATATCTCTCTCAGCTCTTCACCATATCGTACTGGGATATCTGTAATAGCTTGGGAACAGGTTTGTTTGACGCATGGCTCAATATTTTCTTTACCAGCAATGCCGTAGCTATATTCTCTGTTTGATGAATTAGTTCTTACCATCTTTCAGGTTAAAACTTGGTTCACCAACAAGCAAAGTGGACTAGAAGAAAAAGCTACTCTCTTATCTCTCATTAGCACAACAAATGCGACTCCTTGTGTACGAAGAAGACCAAAGAAAATTGTCTCTTCCATTAGGAAGTTAGCTTCACAATATGCATCTGAAAAATATGAGAATCCCATTGGTAACTTCAATATTAGTAATATTTTAGAAATTTTATGCTTTGTATTAATATGTTTGTGATGACTTTACAAATGGAATTGTCTGCAGGTGAAAGGGCAACAGAGCTCTCAGACTTGGCTTTTGAAGCTCTCTCAGCAAAGGACTTAGCTTGGTTAGAACTTATAAGGCATTCCTATGTTTCTTTTTTTCTTTTCTTTTTTTTTTTTGAAATTCTCATGTTTGTTCCATTACTTCTCAAATGTCATCCCTAAAACAAAGGGAATTTTTTCAAGGGTATGTTTGGATCTTAAAAAATACTAGTAAAATAGTATGTCAAGGAAAACAAATGCTAAGGAAAGTTATTTCCTATTGTTACCTAAAAAATGCATAGAAAGATGAAATATAATTAATGTTTTAGAATTTTTATACTCCCATTGTCCCAAAAAAGGTTTCACATTTCCTTTTGTTTGTCCAAAACAGGTTCCACTTTGCTTTTAAACAATTAATTGCTAGGTTCATATTATTTCTCTTTCCTCTTCATATTTCCCAACCACATAAATTCCCTTTTCTTAATCTTCATCCCCAATCAATTGTGGAGTGTTTTTGTGGGACTGAAGGAGTAAATGTTTTGATATCTTAGTTTTTATATTGTACTCTCAACGTCCGAATTTAGTTTTTCACTTTTACTTTTTGGGGCATCTAGAATCGATTGTCCACATACTATATTTAGTAAATAAATTATTGTGAATTATTAATGAACTGCAATCTAACTTCAAGGTTATTTTTTGTTTGTTATTTTAGCTCAATTCCATAAATTTGAGGTATTCTGGGAAGCGGACAACTAAATTTAGACACAGGGAGCTGAACTAAATACTTACTAAATAAGATAAGCTTGAACAGATTTAACAAATAATTATGCTGGAAAAAATGCTTTATGAACAATCTTTCTGAAGTAAAATGACAAGATTGAATTGTTACCAAATTCTATCCTCGACTAACCTTCAAACACACCACATTTTTACATTGACTTTCCATATTTTACTCACGGTAAACAAATCTGATTGTTCTTTTTTTGCAGGTATGACGTTGCTACATTCTTAAACTACCGAGTTACTTATTCGGGCGACCTTGTGAGATTTTTGTTCTTCTTTCCCTTTTTTCAACTTTTATCACCTAATAGAGGTTGGGGTCTCTCTACCTTATAGTTTAGGGGTAAGGTGTGCATACACCCACCCTCTTCAGACTCCACTAGTGGGATTCCACTAGGCTATTGGTGTAACTTTTATCACCTAATCCCCATATGGCGTGCTCACGAATGGGGTCAATTTATGTATTTTTACGTAGAAAAAGTAATCATGTTAGATGTCGGCAGGAGGTTCGTGTGAGATTTTCTGGATTCAGGAACGATCAAGATGAGTGGGTGAGTGTTAGAAAGGGAGTTCGTGAGCGCTCCATCCCCCTAGCTCATTCAGAATGTGAGAAAGTGGAGCCCGGGGATCTTGTACTATGCTTCAGGGTATATATTATGTACATACATGCGTAATATATCTCTAAAATGGAACACATAGAAGAAATGTCTTCAACACTTGACAATGATTTGACATGTACGTATCCAGGAAAACGAAGTTTATGCATATGCTTTATACTGTGACGCACACATTGTTGAAATAGAAAGAAGAGCACATGATATCTCCGGCTGCACGTGCATCTTTCTCGTTCGGTATGACTTTGACAACTTTGAGGTAAGTTCATAAGGGCTCGTTTGTTTGTGGAATATTTGAAGGGGAGGAGAGGGTTGACTTTTGTTTAACTATTTGTTAGTCTTAGACTATGTCTGGTTGCCTTCATGGCGCTCAGCCTATTTCTCCACTGAATTAATATGTCTAACCATTTTTATGACACAATGCTTAAAATATAACTGCTCACTCTTAAAAAAACATCTACTCCAATTAAAGGAGTAAGTACATAGTAACAAAAGAAATCCTTGAAATAAGCTTGTCCTCCATGGATGACAACATTAACATTGCTAATGCACTCTTTAGGAGCTAGTTTGAGCATTAATTCCGAATGCTTAAAAAGGAAAAGTGGACTGAAAATTCCCGACGGAGGAAGTATAATCATTCGTACTCCCTCAATCACTGATACGTGTTTTTGGGCCCCTATTAAATTCACCAAATTTTGAGCCATTTACGAGATCCCCACGCTGTGGGAGTTTACTAGGTCTGTTGTTGTATGCCATTTACGAGATATAAATTGATGTTTTAAGATGGGATCTAAATTCTTAATATGAACATGGTAGTATTTTTGAATTCTGGCAGGACAAAGTAGAGAGTCACAAGATATGTCGCAGGCCAACCAAAAGAAAGGATTAGCTAAGGTGTAATTTTCTCAAGTTTGCAGCATTTATTAACTAGAAGTCCGAAGAGATCCTAAACTTAAAATGTTGTTTTCTAGTACCCATCTGAGCTATAATCTCCAACGTATTCGTTCTTCAGCTGTTGTCCCGTCGAGGAAAACCAGAACTTTCCATTTTCTCGAGATCGTCTGTCTATAAAGAACACATGCATTGGACCAGCCATGAAGTGCTCTTTAGTTCAGCTGTTGCTGTTGGAGATGTTGATAAAGCTTTAACTGTTCCTTGTGACAGCTCCATTTTTGTTATGACTTTTGTTGATGGACTTCATTATATGGAAAATGCTACTATAATCACACTATGGATGACAACTATCTTATGAGTTTGTTCACACTGACACTGCAAATCTTTGTGTGTTATACCGCGTGTGTGAATAAAATTCACAAACGGTTGTCATCCATGGTGTCAAATTTGGGGTTTGAATAACAACATTCAGCAAGTAGAGGAAATGTCATAAAGTGTAAAAAATAAAGAAAAAAAGAAAATGACATCTGTAAAGCATAGATACAAAAGATAAAGGTAAAAAAAAAAAAGGTGGAGTGGGTTGATGGTTGAAGTGTTAAAAACAAAACCAAGAAATTGAGTGAAAAACACCTAACGAAACCGGCCTGTCCAGCTCATTGAACCGGTTTGGACTTTGAAGGAGGGGTGATCGGTTTTTGTGTCTGAATCACGCCATCTGGTTCCTCGTTGAATCGATGGATCTCATCCAGTTTTCTTAATCATTGCTTTTTAGTTATGTCCAGTTTATACGAAATCAATTTCAGACTTCAATATTCCCAAGTCAAAAAGGTTTTTTTTTTACTCTTTTTTACTTTACAAAATATTATTCCTCCATTTAAATGGTCAGTTTATTATTCATAAAGTTAAATTGTACTCCGTAATTACTTTTCTTATTTTCGTTACTCAAATGATAAAATAATAGTCATATCTTCTCTTGTTTTGTAGATCTTTGTCGTTTTTAAATATGTAAATTTTATTTTTTTAAATTTTATCTCAATTTTCATATAAATTAATTTGAAAATAACTTTAGTCAAATATTATAAATAACAACATGCAACTTAAAATAGAACGAGGAGTAAAAAAATTAAGTACCCGGAGTATATGATTAAACTTTGTTTAGTTGAAATAAAAATAAAAATTTCATGAGTCACATATGATTATTTTTTTTCGAGGTGATTGTCTGATCGATTCTAAAGGTTCATATGTAATTATTTTTTTCTCATAACATTCCCATCATTACTGCTCCCTAATACCCATCATCAACCCCATCATACCATCTTTCTTTCTGTCTTTCTTTACTTTTTTTTTTTATTTCCTTCAAACTTTTAGAATTCCAATGTTCCATTAACAACTCTCAAGTAACGGCCGAGACGGCAACGGAGAATCAAGATTCCGAGGAGTAATAATGGCCGTCACGCCGGGACCATTCCATCCCGACCACCACTTCCGGGCACCTCCGCCTTCTCCCGCAGCACCCGGCCGCCCTGACCACCATTTCCGGGCACCTCCGCCCTCTCCCATAGCCCACGGCCGCCGCTCCGGCATCGCCAACGACCAAGAACTGACCCAGTTCCTCCAGAGCTCCCTCAGAGTCCCCAACCTCGCCCTCCCCGGCCGGGGGTTTCCCCGGAGGAAGCTGGCCCGGGACCCGCCGGAGCTCGACTTCCGGGCCCTGGAATCAATGGGCCCGGAATCCACGCTCGACGTCCTGGACTCCGCCGCGAGGGCCGGTTGCTTTGTGGTCATTAACCACGGAATCCCGGGCGAACTGATCCGGTCGGTTCTGGCCGCCGGCGACGGGGTTTTCAGGATTCCGCCGGAGGTGAAGGCGGAGGCGGCACGGTCGCCGGAGATTCCGTGGGGGTTTGAGGAGGTTGATGGAGAGGCGGAGACGCATGGGAGCGAAGAGTTTGTGTGGTGCAATGATGATCCAGCCTTCATCAAGAAAATGGAGGGGTTTTGGCCCATGGGGTTTTCAAATTTCAGGTAACTCATTTGATGTCAAATTTGATGGGCTTTTTGTTTTGTTTGTGTATACTATGCATCCATTGAATTTTAGTTGACACTGAATTTCAATTTAAATGTTAAGGAATGACATTGAAATTTGTGGAATTTGTGATCTGTACGTCAGTGAATCTAGTATTGCTCGATACGAAGTACTACCTCCGTCCCAGAGTATTTGTCCACTTTCATTTTTACACACCATCCAATGCACTTCTTTAATCCATTTTATCTTGTAATTTGTATATTAAAAAATTATAGAAATTATATATTAATAATCTATATGTTAAGACAAATCAAACAAGATCACACATGACTATATTTAGGCTTACACAATGAGAGAATTTGATGAGTCAAAGTGCTTAGATGAATAGTTCCAAAAATCAAAACTGGACGAATACTCCGGGACGGAGGGAGTATTATAAAATGACATTCTATTTATGTACTATACAATTTTTTTATTTCATTTTAACACCTTTTAGATAAAATTAGAACAAAATCTTATTTAAACTTATAGAAATCGCCATAAATAGGATTAAAACAGAAAAAAAGTACCTAAATAGAAGTTCCATGTTTTTATTCTCGAAATAAGGCTTCGCACTGCGGTAACATGGTTGTAATGTGACACTTTACATGTGCACATTACTATACTTTTTGGTAATGTAAATGACCATGTTTGGTAATGTAAATGCATTTTAACTCCTATTTTACAAATAAAAATATGAAAGTCCTATTTTAGTATATTTTCAATGTTTAACTCCTACTTTAGTCTTTTTTCTTTAAACTTAACTATATTAACTTAAGTAGAAAAGAAGTGACTTATAATTATTGTATTCTTGTGGTAATTGTTACGGAATGTATACTATGGAAGCTAGTTATATTGAGAAAATTACTCTTGTGGTAATTGTTACAGAATGTATACCACGGAAGCTAGTTATATTGAGAAAATTACTCTCGGGGTATTTTCAATTTTTTGATAAGAACTTCCATGTTCCATATTATTGGAAATGTACTCCAAGAGTCAAAGGTATCCTCTACTTTCGGATATGAACTCTCAACTCCCCCGTTATCTGAAATATTCTCGGGAGTCCTTAAAATTTATGATATTATACTCCGAGGGTACAGTACGTTTATTAAGACGTTATGATTGAAAGTTTCTTTACTTTGACAATAAATCGAAAGATTTTATTAAAATTTAGTAAGACCTGAGCGTTTTTAACAGAAAATTGAGATCCCCAAAGTATTTTTTTGAGTAATATTTGGTACTCTACCCGCATGAGACTTTAGTTTTGGTACGGATTTGGCAATAGTCTCGACATTTAATTTTATTGTTTCAAACCAATTATCTAATGAAAATGTTTGACTTTAACATTTTTAAAATTAATCTGCCTTATTCAAAAATAATTTAAATTGTTAACTTTAATTGAAAAACACTATCTCAAACAAGACATCAGTGTTTTTGAGAAGTCATTTAGTAATTGCTTGGCCTCAAGATTGCGCGCCCATTTGTTCATAGTAGAGTGCTTCCATGTTTTGTAAACATTAATTTTGTACAGTAAATAATTAGTGAAATTTGTATTAAATAGTACTCAAATATATGCTATTTCCCAATGTAGTACTGACACTGTATTATTTTCTAAATAATACTTGAATAATGTCCAGTAATGGTAGATATTTAGTTTGAACAATGACCAGTGGTACTACATTAGGAAATAAAAACATACAGTACTACATTGGAAAAGTCACTATGTAATTCCCTAAAAAATATTCCGGAAAAGTCACTATGTTTTAGTACTATGTAAATAAATTTCCGTAAAAAATTATTCCGGACCCAATTCGTATAATGTTTTAACAAAACTCAGAGAAGAAATGGAGAAGCTATTGGGTGATGTTAGAGACATATCCAAGAAGATTCTTGGGGTCTTAGAGAAGAATAAGAAGAATATTCCCAGCAGCAGCAGAAGAAGGAAAGCATTCCAAGAAGAAGAAGAAGAAGAAGAAGAAGAAGAAAGGAGATGCGGCAATGTATGCTATCTCCACAAGCAATGGCACATTGGGAACAGCTCTAGTGAATATGAAATGATTCGGTTTTTGATCAGAGGGTGTGAATTCCCTCACCATTTGTGTGCCCATTTCTCCAATGGGTCTTCCAGCTTCAATGTTTACTCCAAGAAACAATGGGTCTCCTTCCACCCCCGCCAAAACTCCATCGTTTTCACCGTTGGTGACATGTTGCAGGTATGTTTATTACTCGTCATTATTTTCAGAATTTATTAAAATAGTGTAAGAAAAAAATAATACTCCGTAATGAGTATGAGTTGCAAAAATATTAAAATACGTGTAGTCTCAATATATAGTTTATGTTTATTGAACTGCAGGCAAGGAGTGGTGGAAGGTATAAACATGTAATAGGGAGGGCAGTCTTCCAAGAAGAACAATTGGGCTGTATTTCAATGGCTATTTTGTACTCTCCACTACCTGATGAAGTAAGACAAGAAAAAGAAATAACTACTGTTTCCTTTGGTCAACAAATTATCATCGCAATTTTGCTCATTCTTGTTTACCAATTTCTCTTCTTCATTTTAAAGAAAATATAAACTGTGTCATGCATGCCCACCACACAATCCCGCATTTTATCAGCTATCATTTTTCATATGATAATTATGTTGGTTTGGAATGGGTGCATTTTTGTGTTCTTGTTTTTGCCCACATGGAATGCTAGCTTGGCTTATTCATATAATATAATATTTTATATTGTTTTGTTTGTGTTATCTAATAGAATTATTAAGGTGGTGATAATCATTAAGTGTCGGAGGCATCCTTAAGACCCAAATTTGGGCCGAAGGGCCGAAATAATTATTACATCACACCAAGGATCCGTTTCCTGGACGAGTTCGATCTAGGCCAGCCGACCTTGGGTACGTAGGCTGAGAGTGCCATACTCAGTACGTGGAGTCTCTCATACTCCTTGGTCTTGGGTATCCATCATAAAAGTAACTCACTTCTCTAGTAGGGTGTAACCATGTTTGGTAGATGTAGAAAAAGTCCCCATGGAGACACGACGAGGATATCGAGTTCTTCAAAACATTGAAAAATTTCTAGATTTTCTAACCAAATTAAAGTCGAGTGTTGTGCTTTAAGAGACTAATTATTATCGGTATAAAAGTCTCTCATTTCTCAAGTCGAGAACGATGACCAAGTTTAAAATTTTAAAATAATACACTTAGGAAATGATAAACTCTCAATTAAAAATAATAGAGATAATAGGAAAATAAAATATTATTATTTACTTTGTTTATTCATATTATTACCATAATTACTTATTGTACTCTAGATAGGCTTAATATATAAAAGCCTCATTTTCAATAAAATCAATTATTTCCAAATTATATCACGGTATCAGAGCCATGTTTTGATATGAAAAAAAAAAACATTTTCAGTTTGGCTTTGAACTTCTGGCCTAATCGGCTGGTCGACCACAACGCAAGAGAAAAACGTCAAGCACAACTGAAAAAATTATGTGTCTAGGTAGTTGCACTTGATGGAGGTGTGCTGGAAGTTTGTTAGACACTTATAATATTTAATGTTTACTTATGATCACTACTACAAAAAATACTTTTTAAATCGGTTATTTTGACCCTTTTAAATCGGTTTTTAACCGATGCAAAAGCCAGCGATGCAAATGCTCAGGTAACTTTTTGCATCGGTTGTTAAAACCGATGCAAAAGCCCATGCCCAGAATTAGCGCCAAATCTGGGTAGAGGCTTTTGCATCGGTTATTTAGTAATAACCGATGCAAAAGCTTATCATTTGCATCGGTTATTACAAAATAACCGATGCAAAAGCCTCTACCCAGATTCGGCGCCAAATCTGGCGCCAAATTTGGTTCATCTATGTCCCACCGTTGCCGATATATATTTAGGCTCATCTCCATCAAAGGTATAACTCCTTGTCATAAACACATATTTTCATCTCAAGGAGCAACTTCATTGTCTTCGTAAAGGAGATTCCACCATGCAATCATATATTGATTTAGCTCTCAAAATTGTCACTAGCTTTGCTCTTGCACGTGAGCCTGTTCCTGAGCAAGATATCATCCTCAATGTTCTACGTGGTTTTCCCTCAGAATATGCATCCTTCAAACAAAATATTCATATTAATATTGCTCAACTCATGATCAATCAGGTATTCTCACGATTACTCTCTAAGGAATGAATATTCAAATTAAACAAAAGCTGCATCTTGGGCCTTCTTGTAGTGCCAACGCCGAGGTGCATACCACTCTCTTTACCACAAACAGCCGCGGTGGCAGTAACCAGTGTGGGCGAGGATGTGGACGCATGAATGTCGGTAGGGGGGCTGGCAGGTTTGGTGGGAACGACGGTTAATATAACCAAGACCGTGGCTCAAGTAGAGGCCGTGGTGGTTCTCGAGACACTCCTCGCGTTTGACAATTTTTTTGAAAAAATCAATCATAATCCATGGCAATGTTGGAACTAATATAATGAAGAATTTTCAGGCAAACGATAGATCAATCCTTATGCTTAGGCTTTGTACACAACCTACTCTACATATCATAATCAGAATTGGCACTTAGATTGTGGTGCAGCCGCTCATGTGACGTTTGATCTATCTGTCACGGCTACGGGATCCTACTCCATATCATGGTCCCAACACTGTTTCAACTACTGGGGGCACTCTCTACTAATCTCTCGTGTTGGCTTAGGACCTATTCCCACACCCACAGGTACTTTTACCATATCTATCAGTTTGGATGTTCCTGACTTAAAAACTAACCTTTTATCTATACACCAATTCACCACAAAAAATAAGTGTTCCCTTATTTTTACTTCTAAGGAATCTATGATCCTGAATAGTCATACCAACTAAGTGACATATAGGGCCCATGTGAGCGGGGTTTATACCCTTTTCCAGCCAAGCATATCTTTCCTCTTTGTGTTCGACCTCCATTCGACTTAGCCAAGACTCCACTTGTGGTACATGCCCAGAAGACGAAATCACATCAGTGGCACTGTCGTCTTGGTCATCCGTCTTTTCAAATTTTAAAGATTTTGTTGTCCAAGTTAGGTGTTCATTTTGATTCTGATATGTTTCAATGTGACTCTTCCAAGTGTCACAAGTTACCTTTTCCAGTCTCAACTACTGTAAATACTGCACATTTTCAATTAATACATTTAGATGTTTGGGGTCTTACCTCTATTCCCTCGTTTGGTGGATATCACTTCTATATAAATTTTATAGATGATTACACCAAGTTCTGTTGGCTCTACCCACTTAAATATAAATCCGATGCATTTCCTGTTTTTAAAACTTTTCATGCTATGATAAAAAAATAGTTTGGCCATGAAATTAAAAAATTTCGAACTGATAATGGTCATGAATATGTGAAACTTCAATTTGGTGATTTTTTTACAAAGCTTGGGGTTCACCATTATAAATCATGCCCTTATACACTAGAACTGTAATACCCCGTATTAAGATGGGAATGGGAAGAGCTCAAAAGGATTGATAGTAGTACTCATACCAACAAGGTGCATCTTCTTTTCGAGAGCTCATCACCTAAAAAAACTCCAAAGTTAAGCGCGCTTGACATGAAGCAATTTTAGGATGGGTGACCCCCTGGGAAGTTTTCCTTGGGTGCGCATGAGTGAGGACAAAGTGTGCGAGAAAGGCTTGTGTTGGTTTGTGGGGCCAGTCTACAATCCTATGAGCAGACACTTACGGCTAGGGTGGGGGCTGGGGTGTTACAAGAACAAAATGGGGTAGCTGAACACGAGAACTTGTAAAGAAAATAATTGATCTTATGAGGTCGCCTAACATGAGGTGTGGTGTCCTGCAATGGATGAGGAATATGCAGCCTTGCTGAAATAGAACACATGGGTTCTTGTCCCACGGTGTTTCGGTCGAGTTACGATTGGCTATAAGTGGGTCTACAAGATTAAGCATAATGTCGATGGGTCTGTCGAGTGCTATATAAGACGCGTCTTGTGGCGAAAGGTTATAATCTGGAGTATGGATTAGATTATTCAGAGACCTTTAGTTCTATTGTCAAATAGCAGACTATTCATATTATTTTTACTTAAGGTCTCTCCAAAGGTTCGCCTCTTAATTAGTTGGATGTCTCCGATATAATGCCTTTGTACATGCATAGGTTAACAAGGATATCTATATGAATTTGCCCTCAGATTATGTTGATGACCGCTTTCTGCACTACGTCTACAAACTCACGAAATCCTTGTATGGGTTGAAACGGGCTCCACGTGCGTGGTACGGCTGTCCGCCTTCTTGCTCAGCTATGGGTTCTGGAAGCGTGTCCAAGACACCAGTTTATTTATCTTACATGGGCTCAATGGTACTCTGATCTTGCTAGTATAGGTTGATGATACTATTGTTACATGTAGCTCTTCTAATCTTGTCCAGCAGTTCATTACTCGCATGTGTGGTGAGTTTAACGCAAAGGACCTTGGGCCTCTTCATTATTTTATTGGTCTTGAGGGATGCCACACCTCTTCATCTCTTGTAGTAACATAAAAGAAGTATGTCGCTGAACTTCTTCATCGTGCTAGACTTTATGACTGCAAAGCCACGCCGACTCCACTCCCTGTTCGGACGCCCGACATCGACGGGGGGAATGAACCGTTCTCGGATGCTTGGTCGTGGATGTAGATGGCACTGATCCTCCTCCACTAGTGATGATTCTCGATGACAAAGCCGAATCAACAAATGACAAAGAACCGGTCATGAAAGCCAATCCGGCTTATGATCAATGGACGATTATCGATGCTCAATTACGTGCATCACTTCTTGCTCTTTTCTCCCTAGTTTTTCAAAATTTGGTTCATCTATGTCCCACCGTTGCCGATATTTAGGCTCATCTCCATCAAAGGTATAACTCCTTGTCATAAACACATATTTTCATCTCAAGGAGCAACTTCATTGTGTTCGTAAGGGAGATTCCACCATGCAGCCATATATTGATTCGGCTCTCAAAATTGTCACAAGCCTTTCTCTTGCACGTGAGACTGTTCCTGAGCAAGATATCATCATCAGTGTTCTACGTGGTCTTCCCTCAAAATATGCATCCTTCAAACTAAATATTCATACTAATATTGCCCAACTCATGTTCAATCAGGCATCCTCATGGTTACTCTCTAAGGAATGAATATTCAAATTAAACAAAAGCTGCAGCTTGTGCCTTCTTGTACTGCCACTACTGAGGTGCATACCGCCCTCTTTAGCACAAACAGCCGCGGTGGCAGTAACTAGTGTGGGCGAGGATGCAGGCGCACAAATGTCGGTAGGGGGGCTGGCAGGTTTGGTGGGTACGGCGGTTGATATAACCAAGACCGTGGCTCAAGTAGAGGTCGTGCGGTGGTTCTCGAGACACTCTTCGCGTTTGACAAATTTTTGAAAAAATCAATCATGGTCCATGGCAATGTTGGAACTGATATAATGAAGAATTTTCAGGCAAACCGTAGATCAATCCTAATGCTTAGGCTTTGTACACCACCTACTCTACATATCCTAATCAGAATTGGCACTTAGACTCTGGTGCAGCCGCTCATGTGACGTTTGATCTGTCACGACTACGTGATCATACTCCATATCATGGTCCCAACACTGTCTCCAATACTGGGGGTACTCTCTAGTGATCTCTCATGTTGGCTCAGGACTTATTCCCACACCCACAGGTGCTTTTACCATATCTAACAGTTTCAATGTTCCTAACTTAAAAAACAACCTTTTATCCGTACACTAATTCACCACCGAAAATAATTGTTCCCTTCTTTTTACTTCTAAGGAATTTATGATCCTGAATAATCATACCAACCAAGTAACATACAGATCAGAGGCCATGGGAGCGGGGTTTATACACTTTTCCAGCCAAGCATATCGTTCCTCTTTGTGTTCGTCCTCCATCCGACTTAGCCAAGACTCCACTAGTGGTACACGCTCAGAAGACGACATCACATAAGTGGCATTGTCGGCTTGATCCTTATTCGATCCTTATTCTTTTTTGAATTTTGTTTTTAAATTATACTTTTATAAAATTTTATTTAATCTTTAAAGTTTTACTAAAAAATTAAAAGATTAAAAATTGAATCTAAGAAGAAGGTGAGATCTCAAAGAGAAAAAAGATAAGGCCGGTGACGAGAAGAAGAAGAAGAAGAGAAAGAGAGGAAAAAAAAAGGAAAAGATATCGGATCTGCGTTATTCCCACGCCGAACACTGAAGGGTAGAGAAGGGGGTGGGAGCCGTATTCTCCGTCGGGACCGGTCTCCGCCTCAGATGCGGAAAGCAATCCCGAGCCCACCCTGCGTGGGCCGTGGCCTTACCGAGGTCCGAGGCGTAACTAAGATGGGGTCCATAGTCTTTTCTTATATGGAGAATTGACTTATAAAAATCGGAAAAGAAGTACTCCACTAAATTTTAATACAGTAATAAAAAATTGTAAAAGCAAGCTGAAAATTTGACAATGCCACAAACGTTTGTTTCATTTTAGTCATTTTCATTCTTTACCCACCCACCAAGGATTGCGTCTCCAACCAAAATGTAACTTTTTTTTTAATTACTCCTACTTTTTTGTTTTGTTCTTTTTTGTGTTTTATGTAAATCACGTGCCATGCGTCGTCTAATAATACTCATGAAGTGTTGGAATTTGTGTGTATGGAAGTATAAGAAATGTCTTTATAATACATTTATCATTTATGCTCTCTCTTTATAGAGATGTTGAGATAGTATTCAAATATTATCTTGTATTATTCGAATACTTAAATTATCCTAAAGTTGCCAAAATCATTTCTGGCATGTAATAATCTATGTAAATTTTTTCTTTCCATTAATAAAGAATGTTGCTTTCTCTATCCAATATTTTTAGAACATGGGTTAATGGCGTAACAATTAAGAAACAAAACATTGAATATCAATGGTATTAATATTAGAAAATATACTTCCTTTGTCCCAAATTAAATTTTCTGTTTGCTATTTACATTATCAAATTATATTCACTTTCTTTCTCTATTTTAGTTATAGAAATCACCCTAAATAAGACTAAAACATAGAAAATGTACCAAAATAGAACTTCATGTTTTTAAATAGGAGTTTGCACTGTGGTAATGTGGAGATAATGTGGCACTGTACACGTGCACATTACTATACTTTTTGATAATATACATGACCATGTTTGGTAATGTAAATGCATTTTAACTCCTATTTCGGGAATAAAAACATGGAAGTCCGATTTTGGTACTTTTTCTATGTTTTGCTCCCACTTTAGTCTTTTTTTCTTTTAGTTACTCATGTGATAAAATAGTATAGTCATGTCACTCTTGTTTTCTAGAAATTTTAATATAATGTAATATTTAAATTTGTTTACTTATTTTTTAATTCCACACCAATTCTCACATAAATTATATTAGAAATAATTTCAGTCAAATTTCGTAAACCAAATTAGGTGATTTAAATTGCGTCATGATAAAAGTTCGATGGACCATAAATTATATTAGAAATAATTTCAGTCAAATTTCGTAAACCAAATTAGGTGATTTAAATTGCATCATGATAAAAGTTCGATGGACTAAAGATAGCATGGGGGGAGGATACACGGCAATTCGTTGCATTTGCATAGTAAGCCCAACGCAGATGCTCATGAGATTCTATCCTAAAATCAATTAACGATTAAAGAAGAGACGATTCGATTAATATGTTGAGTATTTTTTTGTTTCTTTTCGGTGTGGGAGACTCCAACACCCCCTACAAGTGCAACTTCCTAGCCCCATAATTTTAGCCAATTGCGCTTGACATTTTTCTCTTGCCTTATGACCGACTAGCCCAATAAACCAATAATTAAAACTCAGAGCAAATGAATCTGTTTTGACACCATGATAAAAGTGTGGTGGGTGAAAGCTAGCATGGAGGCCCCACCTTGATTCGTCGCATTTGCACAGTAGGCCCAACAAATTAGCGCGTAGGGTTATCATAATTAAAAATAACTGGCAATAGGAGAAGAGACTATTAGACTTATGTTTTGGGTCTGTCGTGCAAATGCACATAAATCGCGCGGCGTGTGTCCCCCTTGTTATATTTAGCTCATCAGACTTTTATTACAATAAAAATTAAATGAGTATATTAAATAAAAATATTAATTTTCAAAAAATACTAATTTTTATTTCACCACCTTTCTTTTTTCAAAAACTTTCCAACTGCTTTCTTTTATATGGATTTGATATTTTTACATTATAGCAAGTGAATAGTGATATAACAAGCACTTTTTTGTTTCATTCTCCAACCATAATTTGCTATTTCATTTTTTAAGAATTGACTTGCTAAAGTTTGAGGGGCTTGTAATATTTAGCAAGCCAAAGTCATTTTTTGGCAAACTTACTAAAATAAAATAAAGTATACCCTTTGGAAAAGAACAATAGGGTTTAGCTAGCTACATTATTATAACTTTAAGCAAGCTAAAATAATGCTATGGTTGGAGATGCTTTAACACCCAGTTCATTCAAATTCTCTGTAGTTTAATTTTTCTACTTCTCTAATATTTTTGTCAATTTTTTCGAGTTTCTTTCAACTATTTGCAATTTTATAAACTCATCATAAAATCTTTAATTTTTTTCTAATTTTTAAAAACATTTAACTATGTTTTTCTAAATAAAAAAACAGGTTACGCACAACTTACAACGCTTTAAAGAAATTACTCTCCTAAGATTAGAAACTTCACAACGGTTTAATAGAAGATTCGCCCAGCACAGTATATACGACAAACTGAGATATTAACGTGGCTATAAACTACGTTACCAATCAATCTTAATCACCTTTGTTTCACAGTAATTAAACCAACCTTTTCATCCTTCCACTAACGCCCACCGGCCTTAAGTTGATTTTAACGCATGGGGTATTAAGCACCGTCCTCCATTTTCGTTATAGCACCGTTATTTTTACAACGTCAAACTTTTGATGCAAATTGTAGGCTAAAAATCGGCTGTTGGAGCCCCCTCCCCCATCACCCCTTTCCCGTTATCACACCGTGTATTTTTTTCCAATGAATGTTATTTTTTTATTAATGAATGTAATTTTTTATTTAATAAATGTAATTTTTTTAATAAACGAATGTAATTTTTTTAAACTAATGAATGTATTTTTTGTTCATGAATGTAATTTTTTTAATGAATAAAATTAAATAATTAAATTTTATTAATTCAATTTTAGAAGATGTGTATTTAAAATGTAAAAAATGAAAGTTTGAATCCCAGTGATTTCAAACCCATTTCCAGAGAATTAGTAAGGTAAGTTAAAGTTGATGTGACAGAGAGAAAGTTTGAAACCTCAGTTTAAAGCCCTGAGGCTTCAAGACCATTTCCAGTGCTCTAATACACTAATTTTATTAATTTATTCCCACTGATATTTTACTTGCTTAATAATGCATGAGATTAGGGGTACGTGTTTTGCAACAGAGGCAGACCATAAATTACTCCATTTCCACAACCTAAAAAGAAACGCCAAAGTTACAATTTTGCTTTGTTGAAAATGAAAATCTAAAGTGGCTGATTCCCATTCTTTCGCACTCTTCTCTCTTTATCGCCCACGAAATATCCTAGGGTCTTGTTTCTATGAAATTTATGGTAGGCCTTGTAAAAGTAATTAAGGCTATGAGTTGTGCTAAGTGATATCATTTTGATTCCAAGCATTATATACATACAGACACATAATAAGTGTCTGAATACGTACAGACAATTACTATGTGTCTGTATAATGTATGCGATCAAAATGGTGTCATCATTTAGGTCTCTCCCTCACATTTTTGCTAAAGCTATAGAGAGCCTCTTGTTAATTACTATGTATTAGCTACGGACAAGTCTCGACGGAGGTTGCTTAAAGCATTTTTGGAAAGTTGTAAGTGTGGGATTCATCGATCTAAAAGAGACCTAGCGTGACCTCATCCCTAAGCAAGACTACCCAATTAGTCCGGGCTTGTCCATCCTCAATCTGGACTAGGCCAGACTCAGCATCCAAGGGGATTGAGTCTGCGGGAACAGGAGAGCTTGGGCTAAGAAAAGCCCGGGTGGGAGATTGGCAGACCAGGGATTAACGTAAGGGTAGACATATAGAGTTCTTTTGTCATGCATGTCAGTTAGGCAAACATGTTCGCCTACCTTTTTAGTCCTCGAGTCGTGTATATGTTTTTCCTTTTCAATTAATGTATATAGACTTATGGCAATCGCTCGTTCCTAATGTTACTGGATTAAAATTCTACATGTTTTTACTTAATGATTTCTCGCACTACTTATGGATTTTTCCCCTACGTCACAAGTTTAATGCTTACTCTCATCTAGTTAAATTCAATGCACTTGTCAAAAATCAATTTCAAACCACCATTAAAGTTGAACAATGTGACAATGACACAAAATACCGAAACAACCCACTAGCCACCTTCTTTGAGTCTTTAGGAATACTCTTTCGTTTCTCTTATCCCTACACTAGCCAAAAAAAGGCCGCGCAGAATGCACCATTCGCACCTCAAATAACACCATCCGTACCCTATTATCTCAAGCAAACCTACCCCCTCAATTTTGGGTCAAAGCCCTCCACATGGGCGCTCACCTCTTCAACCTTCTACCCACCACCACTCTATATAATTGCACACCTCATGAAGTCTTATATAACACCCCTCCATGTTACAAGCACCTACGAGTCTTTGGCTATCTCTGCTACCCAAATTTATCTGCCACAGCCCCCCACAAACTAGCCCCTCGTTTTGCGCGCTGCATCTTTCTTGGCTATCCTGAGTCTCAGTGTGGCTATCGGTGTTTGGACTTAATCACTCATAAAATCATTGTCTCCTGCCACGTCACCTTTGATGAGTCCACATTCCCATATGCACCCTAACAATCCCCCTCCGATTACAACTTCCTCAATGCCATG